GTTGCTAAAGGAATGGTTTCTCAGGGAGGTGGGTTGACAGCATTACATTTTGCAGCTCTGTGAAACTATTTGATTCATTCTCCTTAATTGCATTAGACCTTTATTTCTTCTCAAAACAACAAAGAGAAAATAGTGAGTATTTCAGAATCTTGCCCTGTATTAGTGCAGCCTGTGCCATTAGAGGAAGTCTCACTGAATTGATTACTGCTTCACTGTTTGGAATTAGATAACTTCTGGATTTTATTCTCCAAGTTTGAACATGTGGCCAGCTCTTATCAAAAGTATGATTTGAAGATATTTACTTGTGACAAATTTGGTGAAAGTCAGCACCTGGGTGAAGAAAGATGCTCTCTTGCATTTGAAATGAGGGATGCTGTCAGTCCCAAACTTTCCATCCATGTTTAAACTTGATGGCAACTTCTCCATCCAACCTAGCAGAAACTTCAGTGGTTCTGATAAAAAAGGAAGAATCAGCATGATTTTTGTAGACCACACAGGTCTGTATAATCATAGATGGTGAAGAGGCCTTGTTATTTCTCACACAGAAAATCTCAGGGCACTAAAAGAATTCCCAGATAAAAAGTTAACAACAATCAAAAGGGAACAACTTTTCACTGTGCATGAATCAGAAATTACTGCTGCAGAACATGAGGCCAGAACATAATGAGCTTAAAAAGCAGATGAATGAGGGGATGAAAAACCCATTTAGCACTATTAAATAGAACTAAATAGCCTGTGACTCAGGATGTCTATCTGAACTAAGAAAATGGAGTGTGCAGGGGGGAAGTAAGATTGTATGCACGCCCAGTTCTTAATCTTTAGTTCTGACTTTTAGTCTTGTCACAGGAAAATGTTCTTGCACATTTCCGCAGCAAAGACTGAGGCCAGCTGAAAGAAACTGAAAGCTTTGCAGAGAGAAAAAGGCATGGAGTCCGGGAATCTAGTGAGAAGATAAAACTACCTAAGTGATTATCTAACTTCAAAAAAACCACAGTGGGGGCACCTGAAGGAGGTACTCTACAAAGTGACTCTGATGGTACCAGCTGCTCCCTGAAAAGCCCTGCAGAGCTGGTGGATGCCATCCCTTGCTCTGTGCAGTGCAGGATCGGGTCAGGTGCCCTGGGCTGCTGGCCCTGGCTGGCAGGGCTGGCTCTGGCTGCACTCCTCTGCTCTGATGCAGAGGTGCTGTGCACATCCAGCTCTTGGGTGCTCTGAACTTGGTAACACCTCTGCCACCCCTGACACCGCCCCAAATTCGCTTTGCTCCTGACTTCCCATCTCAAAACTCCCTGCTTTTCAGAGGTGCTAATTTGCTGGGGATATTTAGGGGTAAGCAGAGTTATTCTGACCCAGTTTCTTCTAATTTCAGAGCCTGTCAAGCCTCCTGCTAATACCACTCCAGATGCTGATGGCTCTATCTTTCCTAGGCAAAGGGGGCTGGAATCTCCAAGGACAACCATTTTTCCAGCAATGCCTTTGGGGAAGCAGATTAATTCAGGGCATGGCTACAGGATTTGAGCAGGCATTTGGCACAGCCAAGAAAGCATGAATCAGGTTCTGTATCCATCCATTGCAAGGCTACTGAAAAAGAAAACACATGGGGGTTGTAGATAGTGGTATCACAGCCACAGTGAACGCCCACCGGATTGTCCTGCAGAGCCCTCTCTGCAGATTACAAGCTGTCTTTTTCCTGCTCTTTTTGTTCAAGGCAGATTCTGTTCCTCACTTGAATTTTCTAAAACCTCTGAGTTCTTTCCCCCAGTTCTCAGTGCTCTGCCCAGCAGAAGGGCAGCTGCTGCCTTTGTACTAAGCAAGGCTCAGTTTTCCACTGGGCTTGGCCTCGAGGTAACAACACACAAATGTGGCAAAAGCAACTTTTTTCCTCTCCCTGGGATATCCCTCAATTTACAGGCCTCCTGTGCTCTTTAATTGGAACATTTCTTCTATCCTAAATGACCTTTCTGACAGTTATATTTCCAAGGTTGTAAGGAAATGTTAATTTACAGTCATTGTTTCACCTTGAACTCTTCTTAACAGGATACCTGGGACAATAATAAACCAATTTACAATTCCTTGAATCCTGGTGTTAGTCAGTAGACCCAGCACTACCATAATCATGCCCCTGACATAATTACATTTATTATCCCCACATTACCAAGGCATAGACATAAACAACATGCCAGGTTAGACCAAATGAACACCAGAGAGCTCTGAGTTTGTGCTGTGTGATCCTCCCAAAGGTTTGTTAATCTGCTGGGTGTCTCCCTAACACTCCATGAGAGAAACTGCTGCTTTAGAAACGTGCCAAAAAGTCTGTCATGCAGATTCCATGCACAAAACCACTCAGCCAGAAGCAAAGGATAGATATTTCTTTAGCAGGAGAGAAAGGATTGGTTGCTTAAGGGAATATTTAAGCGAGATTGCTTCTCCTCCAGAATTCATAAATATTTAAGTACTTTCTGATCCACATGTCCAAACAGTGAACACACAATCCACCCAGAGAATTAAAGCCTGAAAAACTACTTGAGCTATGGCCATGATAAACAGAATTATTTGTGCTGAATGCTGCTTGAAACAAGACTGAAAACCTGAGCAAAGATTTCTGGTTGTTATTTGATTTATCCTGTGTTGGGAAAGCAGACCTTTTTATTTTTTTTTTAAATATACATTGCCAAGTCAGTTTTTCACCTTGACAAGGAATAGACAAACCAGAGAACTGCAGATGAAGCTGCAACACATGCATCTGCCACTTAAAAACAATAAATATGATCATCCACCCAGGCACTTGGGATAAGGTGTGTCACAATGGCAAACACAGGGCAGCTGCATGAGACTCCCAAGTCCATAATGAGCAGTTTCTGTGTGAGTGACTGCAGGCTGCCAAGGGACTGTGTTTCCTTGATTTCCTAGAACAGCAGAATCCCTAGGAATGACCTTTGTGAGTTCAGTGTCATCACATGCTCCTCTGGGGCTGGTTTCTGTTTGGCAAGAGAGTGAGACAGAAAAATCCATTTCAATGGCTCAAGAGCAACAGAAAAATAACCCTAATATCTCTTTCCCCAAAGTTGGCTGCATTTCTGTCATGTCCAAGGAATTATTATTTATTTCAAATAGCTGTGAGTAATTTGGAAAGAACCTCTTACAAAGAGGCTCAAGTCTATTGCTTTTTCTCCCCGCAGGCATAATAGTTTCCAGGGATATCTTTGGGAGTTTCAGACATGTAGAGGAAACAGCTTGTCACAGGCAGAATCTCTGCTGTGGATTTGGGGCAATTATGCTTTCCAAATCTTAGGCAATAAGACACCAAAAGATAACAAATCCAGGGAGTGAAGAGGGAAAAACACTTTTGCTATAAATTATTTCACCAAGGAGAATCGAGGTCCTGTTCTTGTACAAAGACTGTCCACTATAAGCACAGTAACCCACTAAGTTCAGCTGGAAAAGAGCAGAGGCCAAACAATATCTTGTGAATGGATATAACTGAGGATGGATTTAACTCTCATAAACAGAACCACTGGGAATGCAAAGTGAAGGACAACAATACTGCACCTATTTGGTCAGGCTTGTCTATGTAATAGAGTTTTAAAAATTATACAGGTGGCCTCTTTAATCTCTTCACAAGGGGCTCTTATTTCTGCTCAACAGAAATGTTCCACTTCCATTAGAACACGCAGATCCGAACAGGCATTGCAGAAAAAGAACAATATTCAGCGTATGTGCTGTAGGTGACACTGAACCCGCCTCCCCATCCAACTTAAAACATGTCATGGAGTATTTAGACAGCCTTATTTTAGGGACCTAAAATTAGTTCCTCTGAATCACACTTTAGAAGAGCCTATTTTTGTCCCATACTACACAGGAAACTTTAAGTTCCTCATTCAGATGCTGTAATTACTCTTGCCCTCATCCCCCAAATAGACAAATTCTCTGTAAAACAGAGGTTTATGTGACAGGGATGTTTCTGAGTTGCCTCTTTGGCACCTTTCAGCACCAGCTTTGGATGACTGACCAGTTTAGAAACATGAGGCTGAGGGAAAGTCTAAGGATCCTCATCAGAAAGCAGCTATTCCTCTTTATTCCTGAGGTGGTGCTTTGTGAGATATGGGGGTCATAGACTAGGACAGGTATGATACAGGTGATATGAAGCTCCTGTTGGATTGACTATTCTTTTCCAAACTGTAAAGTCATAGAGTGGTTTAGGTTGGAAAGGAGCTTAAAGCCCATCCAGTTCCACCCCTTGCCATGGGTAGGGACACCTTCCACCATCCCAGGTTGCTCCAAGCCCTGTCCAGCCTGAACTTGAACACTTCCAGGGATGGTGCAGCCACAGTTTCCCTAGTCACAAGGAAGAATTTATTGTGCATATCTAATCTAAAGCTATTTTCTTTCAGTTTGAAGCCATCCCCTCTTGTCCTGTCACTCCAGGTCCTTGTGAAATGTCCCTCTCCATTTTTCTTGTAGGCTCCCTTCAGGTACTGGAAGGTCCTCAGGTGCTGAAAAATGGATGGAAATCTGTCACTCAAAAATCATCTAACTTGGGTGGAAAAGGACAGATGGGTCACTGAGGAAAACATCTGTGCTAAGTAGTCCCTGGAGAGCTGAGGCAGTAGGAAGCAAGGCTGAGTGACAAGATTCCCAAATCCCAGTGCCAGTGCTGGTCCTGGCTGCCCTCAGGCATGGCCCAACGAGGGAACACGTGGACAACCCGCAGCGTGACCCACGCCACCATCAGCACTCAACGTTCCTCATGAATGGGAAGATTGTGTTTTTCTCACAACTACTCCACTCAGATCCATCAGCTCTCAGGAGGCAATGCCAAAACCAACAGGTGGCTGCCATATTTGGGTTGCTGGCAATTCATATTCCTCCTACTTAATGGGAGAGGAAGAAGCTGTTGATGTGAAGCGGCACAGACGGGTCCTGTGTTATGAAAGTCCCGTCCCTCATCATCTGACTTGGGAACCAAATGTGCTCTCACACACTGCTGCAGCCAAAACATATTGCAAACTTGAACAACACATTTATTTTTGACTCACTTGGCAAAATGTATCTCTTTTTTTTTTATCTCTTTTTAAAGAGCAGAATGGCGGCATAGCAGGGAGAGGAAAGGATTAGGTTTTCTTAATAATTACCAAATGTAATTAGTAAATGAATCAACATGCAGAAAATACATTCAAAAAGCAAGTACTACAGGTATGCTTACTGCTGTAATTATGAATGGAGCAGGAATCTGCTCTCCCCTTGTTTCAGACTCTAAAAACAGGAATGGAGGAGATCAGATGAGTTAGTAGGATGGCTGTCAGAGGTGCTGATGGTGTAACCTGGCAGGTTTTTCCCCAAAAAAGTGAGTGTTCAATCCTGGTGGAAGGCCACAGCTGAGAAGGCAGCTTGTTGGCTCAGACAGAACAGGCTCCCTGAGGTCAGAGGTGTTCATTCACATGCCAGATATTCCAAAATGCCTGAAAAATCAAGGCTCAGTTTTAACTTGGGTTAGAAAGGGCAGGAGTAATTTTTTATAACATGGCTACAAAGCAACAGAACACAGCTGGGAAGCTCCTGATGTATCTGCCAACTTCAATTTCTGAAAATTGGGCTAGAATTTTGATTTTTTTCCCTCTCCAAGTCCAAACAAACTGCATGCTTCAAATTTGAGACAAACACTTTCCCACATTGGAAATGTCTGAACAAATCACCATTGTGACTATCAAGAATTGCCTCTAAGTGACAGAAAATAAGTAATTTTAGACTTTTCAATTTCAATGCACACATATTTTCACTTACCCTTTTCACTAACTAAAGATATTGGGTTTTTATTACAGCGTTTGGGGCAATTTATCCTTGACTGAATTGGTGATAAAACTAGGCATTTCATATTGTTTATTTCTGTTTTCACCAGAAAAATGCTAAACCAAGCATTAAACCAACCATGATCAAGTTTTCATTTTTATTTCAAGCCAGAAAGGGCAGAGATTCATCTATTAACTTTTTTGCCTCGTGCAGTTTATGAGGCAACACAAGTGTAAAGTCCCTGTGAAAGACTGCAACAATTTTAGTGAAGTCCAGCTGTTTCGCAATCATGTAAAAGTTGATAGATGCGATCCACAAGATCATGTGATACAAAATCTTCTAGGAATGGGAGGGCATTTCAGAAGGATGGGACACTACACAAAATCCTGGTGCTTCCTTTAAAAATATTCCTTCCTGTATTAAAAATACAGGTCTAGGAGGGTGAAGAAAGTAGATGATGCACTCTTCAGGAAGATGCCATCATGCCTTTGCCTGTCATACTTGGGTTTTCTGCGGTGTTTCTCCTCTCCCTATCATGTTCCCGAATTTAGTTAGCCATATATATATATATATTTAATTTTAAGCAGAGCTAGTTTGAGCATAAAGATCAGAAAACAGGATTTGCCCTTGTCAGTAGCTCTAAATCTAATCAGTTTGCAGCTGTTGTGTGGCCACGATGCAACTCTTGAGGGGAAATTCAATTATATTAGGACAGCTGGAGATAACAGCTATCAGCGCTGTTATCACGTATCCCTCAGCAGTTTATCCCACACCCACGGCCCGCGGGCGAGCTCCGCGCTCCTGACTAGCGCTATTATTTCAAATAAGCCTCTTAGGCAGCCGAGCCAGCTGCTATCAAACTCCGGGGCTAATTACAGCCCCACCGAATCAATTAGTTTGGCAGAGACCGCGGAGATGATCACCGAGTCCAGCCTGTGGCCCGGACTGTGTCCGTCTCAGTGTCCGTCTGTCCTGCCCCTCTCCGGGGACGGGACGGGCACTGCCCAGCGCCCTCCCCATCCCCACCTCTCCCCGGGTGTTTCTGAGCGAGACCCATGCTCGATTCCCTCCCGCCGAGAGCGGCCGGCGGGTGGATGTTTCCGCTCCCAGGCACGCGTCCCGGCGGCGGCACCTTTAGCGGAAAGGCTTTCCACCCAACCGCACCGCCGCACAGCGCCAACCCCGGGCTCGGGCGGCCTTTCCGCCCGTCCCCGCCCGAAGCGCCGCCCCGGCCCCGCGCCCCCGGCCCGGCCCCGCGCCCGCGGAGCGCCCCGGGCCCGCCTTCCGCCGGAAGTGAGCGGCGCGGAGCCGAGCGGGGCGGGCGGGGCGCGGCGGCCGCGGTCACCGGCCCTCCCGGGCAGCGCCGACATGGCCCGGCCGCCGCAGAAGGAGATCGTCTACAACAAGCTGCTGCCCTACGGCGAGCGCCTGGAGGCAGAGGCCGCCCGCTTCCTGGAGCACATCAAGGGCAACCTGGCCCGCGCCGTGCAGCTGCAGGAGCTCTGGCCCGGCGGGCTCTTCTGGACCAGGAAGCTCTCGACGTGAGTGCCGGGGCGGGACGGGGAGCGGGGCCTCGGGCTGCGAGCGGCGCGTCAGTCCCGTCCCTTGCCTTGCCTTGCCGAGCCGAGCCGAGCCCAGGCAAACCGAGCCGAGCCCAGGCAAGCCGAGCCGAGCCGAGCCCGCCGGGAGCGCCTCCCGCATAACGGAACCGCTGGCGCCCGGCCGGGCCCCGCTCCCGGCCGCCGTCCCGTCCCGGCCCCGCACAAGGCCAGCACTTCCACATCGGAAACGGGGACAAAGGTGGCTCCGGCCGCCACAGCTCGCCTGCCGCCTCTGAAACTTCCGAATTCTGCGACTTAAGCGCTTGTGCGATTAACTCGTGCTTTTGTTTTTAATGCGTGTGTATTTTTTAATGCCTTTTTAGGCACCTGTTTCACCTCTCCCCTTCTTAAGCAAGCTGTGGTTGATACAATCTCGGTGTAACTTCTGCTAGAGGGACACGAAGTCTTTCTCAAGACAGGCCATTTGTTGGGTCAGTGCTGGCAGGATTAGACTCTGGCTTAATGCTGTGTAAACACCGCTGGTGCCCTTGATATCTTGGCTGAACTCTGGCGTGGGGTAGATTGTGCTGATGTTGGCCGTGCTGTGTGTGCTGCCAAGGTGGTTTTTGTACAGATGAACCCGCGGTGGTTTCGTAGATAGCACCGAGTACGGCATAGTTCCTTCTCGTGAATTTTACGAAGTACACTTGACCCTGTTTTATTCGGGACACTCTGGCACTGGCTATGGCATCATATGACAGTGAGTCCTGTAGCTGCAATCAGTAAATTCTGGGGATGTTTATCTTGTTTGTTGCTGAATGCTGTGTGTGCCGTCACAAACAGTGTTTTCTGTGTGCCAGAAACAACAAAGTACATGTGTTTGAACCGTTTTGAAACACTCACAACTTCTCTCCTTACATAAGTCTTTTTTTCATAATATCAATTGAGAATTTAGTGTACATTTGTCAGTCAAAGCCTGTTAGATTCGTCTGTATTGGAATGTAAGCGTCTCTCTGTTTCCCAAGAGGCAGTCTTAGATAGAATTACAGTGGTGGTTGCAAAATGACTCACGTGTTTGTGTTATGTGACAGTTTGAACCTGCTTGGAGCCAGTTCAGCACTGCTTCCCTTCCCACCCCCGGCCATCTGCCAACTCATACTGGTTTCGGTGGTACCTGTTGCCTGTACCTGTGGTGGAACTTCCTTTTCCCCTCGAGTTGAAATAAACTTAGGAGTCCCTACTGTGAGAGAGATGAGCTTTAGCTAAACAGGCTCAGTAGGCACAGAAATTCATTCTTAGTGTGCCTTAGAATCACCCTGTTACTCACTCTGTAAATGGCAATTGCTGTTACCACTTCAGGCTCCAGGGCAGTGAATTTGGCCTGTTGGGAACCACTGCTGTGCTGCTTTATGAATCACAGAAAGGTCAGCAGGCTCCAATTTGTGGTTTTCCACCTACACTTTGAAGTTTGGATTCATTGTGAGTGTTTGCAGCTTGTCTGATGCCTGTTAGTACCAAGATTTTCTTTGTGGCATTTTAGATACAGAGGGAGGCTCTGAGTGCGTTTGGTGTGGGCAGGGAAGGAAACAGTCGGCTTGGTGTAAAAAAAATAAGCTGGTGTAGCTAATGTGAGAGATGTGCTGCTGCTCTGTTTGACTTGACAAAGTACTTCTGGGGATAAAAGGCTGAGAGAATCGAGCTTGTTCAGCCTGGAAAAGAGAAGGCCTGGGGCAATCTAATTGTGGCCTTCCAGTACCTGAAGGGAGCAGACAAAAAAACGGAGAGGGACTATTTGTATTAACAAAATACAAATAGCTGGAGTGCTTGGAGTGCCAGGATGAGGGGGAATGGCTACAAACAGCCAGAGGGCAGGGTTAGATAGGATATTGGCAAGGAATTCTTTCCTGTGAGTGTGGGGAGGCCTTGGAGTGCTTGGAGTGCCAGGATGAGGGGGAATGGCTACAAACAGCCAGAGGGCAGGGTTAGATAGGATATTGGCAAGGAATTATTCCCTTTGAGGGTGGGGATGCCCTGGCACAGGCTGTGCAGAGAAGCTGTGGCTGCCCCTGGATCTCTTGAAATGTCCAAGGCCAGGCTGGATGGGGCTTAGAGCACCTTGGAATGGTGGAAGTTGTCCTTACCCATGGCAGGGCGTGGCATAGGATGGACTTTAAGCTCCCTTCCCACCCAAACCATTCTGTCATTCTGTGAAATACAGTAGCAGAAGTTCAGGTGTAGATAAAAAACTTCCAGCCCTGTGGTGCTCATGACAATAGAATCCAATTTCTACTGTCTCTCAATGCTCAGGGACTCATCTCCAAATTTACTGGCTCCCTTTATTCCCTCCTAAAAAAAAGCTATAATTAATAAAAAGAAAATGCTCAGAATCTTCATTATGGCTGCTTAGATTTGTTGCCAGTGTCAGAATTGCAAAGACCAGAATTCTTGCAGTATTCTGTGAAATAATTTACATCTTTATTTATTGTGGAGATACAAATGTTAATACAGATATGTGTACGTGTGACTGAGCAAAGCAAACAGTGGCATGCAGATGATATACCTGCAGAGTTATACCTCCTCAGCTTTTTACAACTCTGTGCCACAGGAGAGAATGAAAGTGAAACTCAGATCTTTTTTTGAATTAAAAATTTGAGTACTCTTTCATGGTGACAGCTGAAGTGTGTAGTTTTTATACCCCCCACAGCTGGAACCATGACTTGCACATATTTATCTTCAGGCCAGCTGTTTCAGCTGTCTGATGTCACAAACTGAGTAGGGAGGGGGGGACAGAAAAGAGGCAGAATAGTTTATCAGACATAATGTCTGTAAGCTGATTTGAATAATTCTTCCATGGGTCATTTTCAGTGGTGACACCTGGTTTTTTTGGGATGTGTGTGTGGACTGTGGTGAGAGAACTTTCTCTTCTGTGACGAGAGTAACTTATGAATTGGATGAGGTTTCTGAAGCAAGTAAAACTTGCCCCAGAGACTGGCAGTTAAATCTGTAATAATTGCTCCTAGATTCCTCCAGCTTTGTCTGGTAAAAGCTTGTAAAATACTAACCACTTGTGAAAGCAGAAGAGTGAATCTTGGCTTGCCACAGCGTGTGTGGGAAAAGCAGGTTACATCAAAATAATTTGCTTAACTGGTCTTGCTCCATAAGTTTTATGGTCTTTAGATCACAGTATACATTGTCTCAACTTCCCCCTCTTTCACGATTCATAAATTATTCTAAAAATGAAAAAAACACTAAATATAGTCAATAAATGAACATATTAATATGATACGGACGTTTCATGGTTACTGTACATGGAGTTAACTACTGCAGTACTACTGCAGGCAGGCAAACACACAAATGCCTTTCTGTGCTTTCTGCTCCAGCAGTCAGGGGTGTGGGAAGATGAAGGACTCAGTTGCTGTCCCTGACAATGTTATTTTATGTGCTTGTCAGGTATAGACTTATAAAATGACATTCAACTGTCTTGCCTGTAAGGTGTGGAAAAAACGCAGCTCAACTGTTTGGAAGGGGAATGACAGGACACAAAGTTACACTGAGGATGGAAATGTCTCCGTGGGACATTGCCAAGTATTTTAATCACTATTGCCTAAAAGTCTTGTTTGACATCTTTCTCTCATCTTTATCAGGGAAACAGAAGCTTTCTTTGGCTGTGTGAGGGATGTGTGTGCTGTGTACACGTACATGTGATTTAAGCAGTCCTGCTGAGCGTGATTCATTGCTTTTCACATCATTTGTCAAAAACTGAGCTTTAAACCAGTCGTGATCCTGTTCTGTGTGTTAGGAAATGCAGATGGAGAGCCAGGAATTTAGGGGAGTGTGCTGTTCAGCTTCTGGAGGAGAGGTAATTTTTAACTGTAGCAGGGCAGCCAACTTTCTAGGGCAGTTTAGGGTGGCCACATGATATGATAGTACACTTCCTAAAAATAGACCTATTGTACTTTTGGAGGGAGAGATTGGATACCCAGCACTCTGAGACTGGGGAATTGGCCTTGTGGTTTTTTTTTTTTTTTTTTTTTTGTAATCTCCAGAGACCCTGTGCTCTGTACAGAAAGGCTGGAGTTGGAAACAGAATTTTCATGTCTTAATCATGTTTTTCATGTTGTGTGGGTGTGTTTTATTTGTTGGGTTTTGGGTTTTTTTTCAATGTAGCTAAACAATGAAGGGCAATGATTTTGTCCTTTCTGTAGGATAAGAACTCAGAAAACCTCAAAGGAATAAAAAAGGCAGTGGATTTAAGATTTCAGATGTCATCTCAATGTAGTATTATCTGCTTTCAGAAGTCTTTTATTTTACAATAATTTAGTTCTGCAATTTTTTTTCCCCAGTAACCCAATTATCCTGAAGAGGCACCATTTCTGTGATGAAAATGATCTGTGTGATTAGCCCCTGGACACCCTTCAGGGTTCATGAAGTTCTGCCTATATTCTTTTATTTAGTAATGGTGATATTTCATCCCTTCTGAAGGGATATTCTGAAAATATTGCAGTTCTCCTCTGACAGATTTTTCTTGTTTAATCTTGAGGAAAAGGCTGAACACCCCTTTCTAGAAGGAGTTATTTTCTGACACTGCCTTAATGCTCAGCTGGATTAATACA